ATGGTCACTTCAAAGCTTGGCCTTCATCGACCTACAGCTACACGAGTTCCTGTCTGTTTGCGCAATGCATCTTGCCCTGCTACTGAATGATTCGCACCTGGACGTCATCATTCTCTGGTCCATCTATTGTTTCCCTATCAAAGAATATCTCAAAAGTTTGTCCGCGTATGTCTTCACCCTCACCCACCTCTGAGCCGCTCCCAGCTCGCTCCTGCAGTTTCACCATCATCCTCTTCCCTTTACCCCCGTCCGTAGTTTCCGTTGTATCAAATATACAATAATCCCATAATATCTATTTAAATTCAATTTTTATAGCATAAAAAATGGGTACCTAGATTTACGCTTTTTCGTGTTATTACTGTCATTATAATGTAAGAATAATAATGTATACACGCACCCCTTTTTAATACTTCAACTAATATAGCATATTATTATATTCCTATTTATTCTATTTGTTGTATTTCCATTCCCTTCACATTATGTTTTAGCTCACTGTATTAAAAATCAAGTAGGTTATCCTCCTTTAGAAATATTTCTTTTAGTCTTGATCCAGCAGCTAGACAACGCAATAAAAATCTGGCCTGCACGAATATGGCTGCCTAGAGATGTAAATAAATGACCTAAAAGCGGATCATGCCTATATATATATATTATATATATATATATATATATATATACATATATATATATTGTTATCTAGTGGTCTCAGGTTGTGAAAGTTGGAGACTGAACGCTGTGTATGAAAGAAGAATCCAAACCTTTGATAGTAGATATATAGATTGGATATATAGGTTATAACAATGAGTATTGACTATTCTATTGATTTTTAATGCTTGCTTTCTGAATATTCCACACAAGATCTAAAGTAATTTCTTACAATTGTAGACAATGTAAATAACAATGTATCTACTTAAATGTATAAAGTAAAGTCTTGTTGACTTACATAGAAGTCCATTAGCTTGAGTTAGCAGGACAGCCAAACATACAACATTTAAAACTTTCATCTTTTTGTGAACCTTTGAAAATGAATTGTATTAAATATTACATAGCTATACGTGGGCCGTTGTTTTGATAAATACTAGCAGCATTTTATTTACCATTTATATTGTCGATTTATAAGTTCTGAGAATTAAGGTGGATACTTAGTTGAATAATATAAAAGAAAATATCTAAATATTATCAGTGCCTTTAAGTATACTTTTTAAATTCAATTAATAATATGATGGACTTCTCAGTATGCCATTTAATAACGTTGTTTGTGTCATTTATAATTTATCATAAACCCTAAACATTTGTGCATTGTCGTGTGGTATGCGCTTTGGATTGTTGTCTTAATTATCATAGTTTTAGAATTCTGACCCAAGTTATTCCCCTTGATACGCGGGGTTAATTTATTAAATTTTCTATTCTGAAAGAATGTTCGAAACATGTAACACAAACAGAACTTAAGAATATGTTTATATGTCGTCCACATATAAGTTATATGCTTGAATATTCTTAGGAAATCGAGAATTATTATTAGATACAGTAGACCAAGCGTTATAATAAGTATTAAAAAGTAAAATACCCCTTTTACCCCTTGGCATCTATGGGTCAGATAATGTTAAGGTCATCTGTTTCTGTGAATCAGTGTTAACGAGGGTATCTTATAGACAGCACAACGATCAACCGCCTTTACTTTTCCCAACTTATGTCAGGTACCCATTAGAGCTGGGTGGAGTCAGAAGAGCCCTAAAAATACCTGAGATGAACTCCTATTGTAAAAACAGAGCAGGAAGGACTATTCCTCCCGTAGTGCTCTGGCAAGAAACTTAGCCGTTCGGCGTAGTGCCTCATAGCTACCATACAAATCCTGTGACTGCTCAGACAGGTCCCCCTTTAGCTCGCGGAGATGGGGTCACTCGTACAAGGCGTGCGATACTGTTTCGACGCTATCTCTACAGAGACGGCATCGGGAGTCAAAGCTCGTGCGGAACCGGGCAAAGTATGCCCCAATAGGACAGTGTTCCATCCTGCACTGCGCAATAATTGTCTGCTCTGACCTCCTCAGTCGTCACCATGGATCGTCGCGATCTGGGTGACACATGTGCTGCCAGACACCACGTGCTCTATCGGATTCCTCCCAGGACTTTAACCACTTCTCATGAATGAGTGCTCGGATTTGTACCGCTGCTTGTAAGTACGTGCCTGGTGCTTCGATGTGTGTGGCTACCCTTGCGAGGGCGTCTGCCGTTTCATTGCCCCTCACGCCGCAATGTGAGGGCGCCCACTGCATGAAAACGACAGCTCCAATAGCTCGGCGGATGTTATCTGCGGCGCCGATAGCCTATTCTATTACGGGCGACCCTCCCCAGCCGCCACCCATAACTAGGAGACTGGAGCGAGAGTCGGTTACTAGTACCACAGTAGTGGCACCAGTTTCGTGTTGGGTCGTTCGGGCTCTGATAGCCTCGAACGCCCAAGTTATCCCTGTTAACCCGGCGTCCATGGAGCATGTTGCATAGCCGCATGGACCAGAGAACCGGTTTGGTTCTGTTCGGTCAGGGTAGACTATAAGGGCCCCTCATTACTGACCCATCGGTACCCTAAAAATACCAAGATTCAACATCCCAGTCCCTATCAGGACTCGAACCAGAGACCCCTTCATTTCGGAATTAGAGCGCTTCACTCAGCCACCGAAAAGAGAGACTAACTAAAATTATTTAAAATCTTCTTTGCAAATAAAACTTTATTTCAACAGAGCTACATGTATTTCTACGAATAATGTACTCACCGAATTGATAGCTATCTAGAGAGTATAGTTCTACGTCCAGACTTCCAGGTGCTAAGTTTGAACTTCAGAAGTGAAGACCTACAAAGCTTAGACCTAAATGAATGAATCAACAGTGGTGAGAGTATGTCTTTTTATACACTTCTCACCCACAGCAAGTCAATGGCCTGGCGCAATGATGAGTCTGTAAATTCTTTCGTCTGTATAATTAAAACTTTGTAAACTTTTTGTGTTGTTTTCTTTCACTATCTCTAAAAAAAATATTGAAACATGTCAACAACATGGCAACATCTGTGGCATTAGACTAAAACAACATTGTTATCCATTTAGAGATTATAATGAAGGTATTTGTTATTTATCTAAGCTAAATTCAATAGTAAAATTAAAGGATTTGTCCATTTATTTTTAATTTAAGCTAGCAAAACACTTCATAAGAATAGTATTGAAAACTAAGCAAATATTATTCAAGAAATCTTGGCCACTGTCTCGCTTTCATTGTATTTATTTTTAAATTTTTGTTTATAACTCAATCTGCGGCATTACATACATAACGTTTCAATGAGAACTAAATAACTGATTGACACGTCAATCTAACTTTTTATCGTGGACGTGGTGACCGAAATTTTAAGAAAATTTTTTGGGGTTTAGACTTAGCTGCCCAGATCAGACGTGGTCTGTTGACATCCAATCAAAGTAGAGTATTTTAAAGTGCTGGTAAAATTATTAACTAGTTCATCAGGGCTTCTTTAGTCGCAGAACGACTATTGTTCATATCAAACACTCTAACTAGTTATAGATTTATTTATCTTCTAATCTTATATATTACAGTATTACAGAAGTTACTTCAAAATAAAAAAGATAATTACACCTTACGCATTTCATGTGTCAATCTAGTCATGCATGTTAATCAATGAATCAAACTATGCTAATTCGTTGGTTTTTCTGGCGGATTCAGGCAACCCATTCTCTAATGGCACTAGGAAGAAAAAACACTTGTACGAATGTTTTCTAGCGTATAGAATAAGAAATGTGCCTCTATCTTTGTCATTTATTTATTTATCAAAGACATAATTTAGAAGTTTTATAATTGCCCTGTAAACTGTGTTGTTAGACTACTTAGGGTCCCAAGGTTTCAAGGGCCTAGCGATCTTTACCCGCCACTTAAAGTGGGAAAGCTGCTATAAGTTTTGTGTGCTAAGTCTGTTCCTCTGTCCGTCCATCACGTTTAGATCGACAAAATAGAAATGTTATAAAAAATCCAATATCATATTTTAAATGTCAAATTCTGATGGCTCCTTTATTTTTCTTTTCCGAAAGTGAACAATTAATAAAAAGAAATATTTGTTCAATATTCTTTTTTATATATATATAATTAAGTCAAGAGACCACTGTATCTGTTAATAATAATAATTAAATTTTATACTCTTAAGCAAGCAATTCTTGTATGCATGGGCGCATCCATTGACTTCCGAGACATAAGATATATATATAATTATATATGTATGTATGTATGTGTGTATGTGCGTGCGTGCGTGCGTGTGTGTGTGTGTTTTAAACTACTACCCGTTGACTACATATTTGAAAGGGGACTTTTACAGAGTCCATTCTATTGCTTCTAACAGATGCACAAATTCTCTTAGTCCAAATTTTTCAAAGTTAAGCCTACTTAAAGCATCTAAGCATCTTATTGGAATCCCAGTAGATGTTCTGACTTGGTGAAAAATACAGTGCTGCGAGTTAAGTAGAACTTTAGTGTTTTTCCCAATCTGTTCTTAATTCTAAAAAAAAAAAACATCTTTTCATTTTATGACACCCATCTGTAAACTTTATAATTGATCATTTTAAATGTCGTTGAAATCGATTCCAATGTACTGTTTGAAAGTTAATTTAGAAGACTTCAAGACGTTTAGATATTTTTTTTAAACTAAGATCTTTTTAAAGCCTAGCGGTCTTTAGGGCAAAGAAATGCAAGTGTATCAATTTCTATATTAATGTTTTTAGAAGAGAGTACAAGAGTGTTATCTGACCAGCACAACGACCAGCAGCCTAAAAATGTATACATTATATTTTCTGTGTTATGTTGTAGTCAGATATTATTTACCTAATTAAAATTTCTCTAAATATAAATGTATTGCTTATAACCTTAGCAACTTTAAAAGTACGAATGAAACACAGGACTCTGAACTATCATCTTCAAATAGAAAAACAAAACCTTATAAAATACTCAGAGAGATACAAAGACAAAGGCACATTCCTCATCCCATATGCTAGGACAAATTTGTACAAATACACCTAATTCCCTGGTGCTATTAGAGCATGGAATGGGTTGCCTGAGTCTGCCAGAAAAATCTATGACTTGGCAGAACTTAAATCTTTGATTAACATGCACGACTAGATTGATATAAGGACTCGCGTAGAACGCAATCATCTACTTTTTCTTTTTCGTACAGATATGTAGATTATGAAGTTAAATAGCGAAACTTTTGAAGGAAGGCGCTAGGTGCAGAGTTGAAACTAAGGGTGAATTGTGACTATAGTTTAAAACCTAATGCCGCACAGATATATTTATTTAAATATGGGTTGATATCAGGAGCGGACACATGGCCGGATATCAGGAACGGACTCATGGCCGGATATCAGGAACGGACGCATGGCCGGATATCAGGAACGTACTTATGGCCAGATTTAGACTTGCTATGTTCCTAGGCTATTTTAATATAGTCTTTTTAAGCTATTTGGGCCATTTGTAATCATCAAATAGTAATTAATTCCTTTACTTTTTCTTCAAAACAATATATGGAGGTCCGTCATGCAAGTGGGGGGGGGGGACGTAAGCTAAAGCTTATTTTGCCAACAAGGGTTTGAGTTTGAGTTTTGAGTTTAGGCACACCGGCACAATTAAGGCCATGTCTGGCACTTGAAGCACCTCATGGGGTTAGGTATGTAGGGCCTCACTGGAATTCGTAGGTATCCTGCCTTCACATACTCTGGCTTTGTCCTAGTCCCGAATGTGAGGATAATAGTGGTGATTTTTGACCTCCTCACCATCCCTGTGCCTGGTAATGCGCCGGGCATGGGTGACTCCTTCAATGCCCTCCACTATTTCCTTCTCGGAACATTCCAGCAGGTCTCAAGAGCTGATAACACCTCTGCTGGTGTTCAAAATCTTGTGTGGCATGACTTCCACTTGGAGATCACAGATTCTTCTGCATCGAAGAAGCCCATCAGAGTGTATCTTACTATCGACTTCTACAAGAAGTTCTGATGATTTGTGCAGCTTAGATACACTCTTGGGCTCTCCCACTACTGACTTAAGTCCTTTATAGATGAGAAAAGAGCTCATCTTTGTCAGGCTTTTCCCCTCCTCTGTGCACCTTACCACCAAAAAACGATGGCAAGGTAGTACAGCTTTGTGTCACTTCCTCCTTTTTTTACTCTGTTCTTCGCGTCTTGCCCAGACACAGATCCCCACCCGCCATCGAGTCCAACAAGGGGACGGGTCATTCGGATGTTCAGGTGTCCGATACAGCAGCTCCCTGATTGACCCTCCAGCCACTGCCTTCCAGCATAGGTCGAAAACCCATGCTGGTAGCTCAGCATGACCAGCCGGTTGACCCAGAGCGGGCCATCTGGGTCTCAGGTCTAGGGGAACTTGGAGCCAAAGTATTGTGTCAAACACCCGGATCTCTTTATCCCCCCTTACCAGTCGCAGTCCACGGCAAACGGACTGGTCTATGACATAGGGAGGTTTTAAAGATAAGAAGACAGAGTGATGGACAATGAAGGCAGACTGAGGAAAAGAGGAGGCAGACACCATGATAAAAAAAGGAGTAGGGCACTTTTGAGCTCCAAAAGTGCTAAGGAAAGAGGAGCGCAGTTTAACGTCTTGTCTCGGGACGCTAACCAACAGGTAAATCCATCACATTATTTCCATACTGTTTTTTATCAATCTGACTTCTATGTAAATGACACGTATGACCTAAATCTTAACCCCCCCCCCCTTCCAAATGTTATGCTTTATGCTATAATTGCATAGTCATCCAGCGCTTTGCCAACATAGAGATTTTTGTAGTGTGGCTGAAACATAAGTCATACTCTTATCCTATTCAACAATGAGAGAGCCATCCAAAAAAAAAAAGGGTTACTGGAATTTGCATTAAAAGACATTGAGCGGTGCTTTCCCTTTCATTAGTTGTTTTTTTTAGAAAGTTTTTTTTTTAGAAAGTTGTTGTTTTTTATTTCGCCCAAGTGCTCTGTTTGTCAATGTTATTAGACAAAATGTATTATTTAATATTCTCAGTGTCATAAAATTCACATTTATCCGCTCTACAGATGTTGACATACAAAAAAATCCTACTGTGATAATTCAGTATCGTATTTATTTCTTCTCGGAAGCCACAGTGATTGAATTGTTTACTTTCCCCTGCTCAATTAGTAGCGACACAGAAATACCTAAGAGATTTATTGAAGTAGAAATAAAAGTACAAAATACTATGAGGCCCACAGAAACACTGTCGTCTACTGGGCACTCAACGTTTAGAAATGAACTCTACTATCTTTATTTAATGAGAATGAATGTCTCCTGAGAGTCACACACCTCAAACAATACTACACAACTTTAAAAAAAATACAATATTAGGAATAACAAAACAACGCTTTTGGTAATGTTTCTGTATTGGGTATTTTTTTTTTTCTTGTAAGTACACCAGGCTTGTTCTAGACTAAAGTGCTGACTTGATTCAAGGGTTGAACTGTAACGAAGAGGAGAATACATTGTAAACAAAATGTAGGTAATATACAATAAAACTCAATGCTAACTTTTTCTTTTATTTTAAATAAAAAAAAATATATATAAATAAAGTTTTTTTTTTTTTTAAATTAATCTGCTCTTTGTAAAGCTGATGGTGGTCTACGAGTTGTCCTTCTCTTTATTTCTTGTAAAGTGTAATCATTGCAAGGAGTCCCTCTAGTAAGTTTTGAACAATCAATTTTGAATCTAACTATACAGAAGTATTTTACATTTGTATTTTTCAAAACCCTCTTGAAGCTTACACTTAAATAAGACGGTGCGTGAAATGTCTATGTGCGTCTTTTGATTTATTGAACTCTGTATTGATTTACAAATAAACATTGGAGTCCAATGCGGGAATTACCGCTGAAACCATGAAACCATTTTTTTTTTTAAGATGTATAAATAATTCTGAAAAAATTAAAATCGTTAAACCAGAGTTTTCTAATCAGCTAGTAGTAATCTTTCACTCTGAGGAAATATCCAAAGCATGTAAAACAAAATAAAAAGTTGCTCCCCCTGAACAATGACATAACGTTAAATACAAACGCACAAGTAGTGTGGATACAATGACAGTCTGATAAAAATAGTTTATGGAATCTCCTACATCCAGTGTTACTTAACTGTCACAAATAGTAGTTGAAAATTCTTTCTTGATATGATCCACTAGTCTGAGGTCAGCAGTTGTAAACACGTTCTCAGACTTGGAAGCCATCCTGGCAAGTTCATCCCTGTCCGTTTGGCCGATTCCCACTGAAATGACGTTAGTGCCAGAGGCTTTCAAAAGTTCCACCTCATCTTGGGCTAAAATATAGTATACAACCTAAATGGCAAATTCCATTTCGTGGATACATCCTATAGTTTTATAACAAACCAATATCCGTGGTTGTAATGTAGAAAGCTTTCAAAGTATAATAAAATAAATCAGTCGAAACATAATATTATCAATGTACCATTCATTTATCTTTAACAAAAGTAGGATTTATTTTTAAAGAAATAATTTGGCAATTAGAAACAACAGTGAAATAACATTTGACTGCATTATTCGTTAATTAACTCTTTTGTGAGAAGACAGTTTTTACTCATGACCTTTTAAATAGATCCTCATTACGTGTAGTCCAAGGTAGAATACTAATAAAAACAGCCAGATTACAAAGAGAGTTTGTCTTTTTAGAAACAAAAGTTTGGATAGGACGCTTACTAAATAAATAGTTTACTAGTTAATAATGGTGAGGTTGATCTTACTTAGTGTTGGGTGTTTAGATCGACCATCTGTTAATATAACCAGAACATCTTTGGCAATGAACCTGCCTCCAGACATTGTACTAAACAGCTTCTGAGATCTGACTTGAGCCAGTGCCAGGTGAGTGTTAGTACCGACAGTGTTTGGATAAGGAATGTTTTCTAAAGTCTACAAAAAAAAAAAAATAAAATTCATGGTCTAACATTTGGACCAAAACATTTGAGTACACAAAATAGGAACTATTAAATGGAACACGGTGACTTCACTAATATGTATAATTCAGGTCTTACAACTAATTGACCATGGATTTTGAAAGCAGAAACAAGAGTGTGGCATTGTGGGACT